AGACACATGACAATGGCACATGAAGCTGAAATAGATATGGTCCGAAGTTGCGGAATTGCACCAAAACAATCAATTGAACTGATGTCGAAACAAGTTGGTGGACGAGAAAATCTTGGATTCATTCGAGATGATTTAAAAAACTACTTACGATCCAAAAGATCGAAACCAATGATGCAAGGTGACACAGGAGGAGTCCTAGAGTACTTACAAAGGATGCAATTAGAGGATCCAAATTTTTATTATGCCATTCAAGTAGATGAAGATGACTTGATAACTAAAACAGGAAATGTATGTGTTTCCAGTGAAAGTAGCCAGGAAATGGGGTCAAAGGCAAAATTAAGTTTTCGTTACAAAGAGTTATCCTATCTATATATGCAGCTAATGACAAAAGCTTCTGAATGTGATGAAGCTTATAAAATTGCTAAAGAAGGATTTTGGAAAATGTTAGAACAAATGGATGCATGTTGCCAAGGGAAAAAGAAAATGAAAGAGGTGTGTATTGAAGAGAGGGAAAGCGTGTATCAAGATGTTGATACTAATCCATCTGAAATCGACTATAGTAAAATAAAAGGCATCAAAGTGAAAGAAAGAGTCACTTACAAGTTGAGCAAGAGACCAAAAAGTGCACTAGAAATGGCTACTAAGAAACGCAAGTACAGGGTGAAAGAGAAGTCTTCATCAAAAAGATTACAGGTTTGACAATTTATTTAGTTTATGTGAATAATGCTATTTTATTGTTTGACTATTACTTTTTTTTTTTTGGTTCCTTAGTTCGACGATGAATCATGAGCATGGAAATAGTATTAGGATCCTTATTTATTATTTGGATAACAATGATTGTAGGAATCTGGAAATAATGTTGTTCATTCAAGTATGGATTCTTCTACAATTCAAGGTTTTGTTCGAGAATTACCACCGCAACAAGTTTAGTTATTCGTCATTTTTGTCTTGTACAGTATAGTAGATATGTAATTCACTCTAAATTTTTATTTGAATATTTTATTGTTTAGATGACTAAACTACATTGAAGATATATTTTGTCAATGATATTTTTAATTTGTGGTTGTCTCTCTCTTTAATTATATCAGGAATTTGGAATTCCAATAGAAGACATTTGCAATAGGCAAAATACTAAGAACATGACACAATTATTACAAGTAAGTGAATAGTATGCTTTTTGTAGATATTATGTCAACCATTAGTTGCATGTTGTTTCTTATTTATCTTAATTTTTTCCAAGTATTTTAGTTTTGCAAGTTGATAGATTATTGTCTGTATGTGTGATCTTTTATATCTTATTTTTTGGGCAGACGTTGGACCCTAACTTCTACCAAGGCTATGATTTGATGTCTTCAACTTCAATAGCACACCAACATGCATCAATAAGTTTTGTCCAAGTAAGAAAAATTTTTGATTAATTACTTAATCTTATATATATTAGTTTGATAATTTACATTTATAATTCAATATATTTGCTAACTTAGCATTTGTTTTTGTAGGCACAAGAACTTGACAATAATGATGATATTGATCAACAAGTTGGTACAGATGAAATTGAAAATGGGAAATTTGAATAAAGATGCTTCCGAAGAAATGGAGGACGAGACTATGGGATTGCGTTCATGGATTAGTTAGGCCTTTCAGTGGAATAATACTTTGTGCTTATACTTAGATTGATTTTGATATTTGTATTTAAATTTCTGTTAATAAACGTTCTTTTGACTAAACTGTAGAAGATGAGATATATTAGTTGATGCAACAAGTCAAGAGATTGCCAAAGAAATTATACAAATCTCAAGGTCATCCTTTTTCTTCTGTTTTTGTGGTTGCATTTCATCTTTCTGTAGCGGTTCTGTTACTTAAAACAATAGGTAGCTCTCTACATTAAGCAGGGTCAGAAATTTCCTAATCCTTTCTCATGCCGTTCTTAATTGGTCTATAGGATAAACAGCACATTTACCTGCTAAGAAAATGGATGATCTCGTGGGATTTCGTGGCTTGCGCTTCTATTTGTTAATGGATTTGAATAGCATAAAGTTTCTGTAGTGATGCTTATACATTCAGCACCCGATATATGTATGCATGTATAGTATCTTGAATCTCAAAGTGGGGTACTGTGTTGGACGTTTGTTTCTGATTCTTGTAATTGCATATGTTTGCAGCTGGCAACTAGCTCTATGATTAGACATTTTTGATAAATCTGCTTAAGCTTGCCCCACAGTTACAAATTCTGATTCAGCAATGTTTTAACTTATGCCTGCTTTGTGAATGGGGAATCTTTGTGTTCAGACTTCCACTTTTGACTTGCCTTATAAAGAATTGAGGTGAATAAAATTTTTTACTTACAAAATTTACTTGATTCTGACATCTGAGCTCATAAAAAACTGATGAAATTTTTCCTGTGCGTGTACACAAAGCGGATATCCTAAGAATTTTGAGTTTTAAACCTAACTTCAAAGAGGCACTTTAAATATTAATTTGACCAATCTGTCCAACTTATTTGATCTGCTTGTAGCATAGGTTAGTGATATATATGCTGAAGGTGCTTTTTACGGTTCCAGGGACCATCCCTCTCGGATACATACCAAGATATTATACTTGGCTTTTGAACCTTAGGTTGATTCACCTTCTAAACTTGGGAGGATGTGGCTTTTGCAATTTCCCTGGTTGCAATTTCAATTTCAATTTTCAAACCTTCTTAATCAACCTTGCTCAAACTTATCTTTGTTACAAAATTCATGCTTAGACAAGTACAAATCAGGATTCTGAAAATGTACTGCAATGGACCAGGGCAAACTTCAATGTTCAGCTATGCCAAAACGGTAATCATTGGCCTTCCCTCCAGCTATGCCAAAAAGGAAGATGATGAAGATACAATTACTGATAATACCTGCTCAAGCTTAGGAATTACTTGTGATGGCCTTCCCTCCAGTCTTACCAATGTAGATAAGAAAAATCCAATGAAAATGGGAGAGAAAAGAAACTGCAATACACAAGCTTTGTGAGACAAAAGACTGATGAGGTAAAAGTATTGTCATCAAATGATAGCTTAAACATGCCATCACATGGGTCCTGCAAAACTCAATTAATCACCTGATCAAGAAAAAGGCGCAAGAAAGCACCAGATGATCCAGGGATTGTGACCAATTTGCTCAAGTACAGGTACCTAATTGTATCACGAGGCATTAATAAGACAATTAAGGGGGTAAAATGAGAGTCACCTTAAATAACCAACTCATTTTACTGAATGTGATTGAAATAGTGAACTAAGGAAATGCCTCAGCATGTCATTGACTGAGAAACAGTTACCTTTTACTAGACAATTAACGAAACCAAAAGAGTAAATCAGCTAGGAAAACAGATATATGGCAGCACACTACAATGACCTCTTATTTCTATTAGATTATCATGGTCCTAAATAGATTTTAGAAATCCAGCAAGCTACTTCAGTATAGTTTCATAGACATGTTTCCTCTCCATAGAGCCGTGGTAGACACATATACAAGGACTTGACTCTCAAAAAGAGGAAGTAATTTAGTTTATTGAGCTGAATAAAAACTTTAGTCTGGTCAATGCCAGTTACCCAAGTACATCTCTTTCCCTTTTTACTACAGATATCATTACCAAAAATCTCCAGCACTTTCAGAAAGGCAAAATGCAACTGTCAAATGCAACTCAAAGCAGAACTTGATTGGTATTTGTCTTGTTGGCTCCATCCTGCCCTTTTTTCCCTTCATGCTTAACATCATACTTGCAATTGTTCAGTTATTTTATGATGACAAGAACTCCAGAACTCAAAAAACTTTGAACATCAATGGATAAACACCTGGACTCTCACCAGTCAGCTGACAAATCAGAAGATGAGTAATAGACAAGATTTCATAAGGGGGCTATCAGTGAATTCCACGGAAAAGTTGATTCATGACGCTTAGGCATTTGATCGAACAGGTGGTGAGCTTCGTCCAATTGCCCATTGAGAGCACATACTCTGATGACTTTTGACTCAAACAACCCATATTTTCACCTCCATCTTTCTCGACCAAGCAGTATAACACACCTCTGGAGCGGTATAACCCATCTTTTTCACCTTCACCTTCATCTCTCGAGCGGAAGTACCCATTACCCAGGACTCCAAATTTCCAGAAGCGGAGTGTTTGTGCATCCGTGTTTGTGCGGGAAAAGTCTTCTTGGTGGGTTTGCAACGGAAGTGCAGGTTCACCTTTGGATTCCTACACTCTTGCAGACGCAACACGGAAGTGAGGTGCAGGTGTTTTGTCAAAGGCCGCCTTTCCTCTCGTGCGCATTCAATTCAAAACTGCCACAGTATTGCACAACCTTCCGGTCAAGTGGGTCTGTTTCAATGGCGAAGATGATGACGAGAGGACTTCCGTTGTGCACTGAGTTTTAGGGCTTTTTTTAATTGATAATTGTGATTTTGTGGGGCAGTTTTTATTTTAATCGATTTTGGTTGCAGAGAATTAAGGTTTTTTGCCCGGTTAATCAATTAATCAATTTAACATGGTTCGGGTTGGGTTGTTTGAGAGTTTGGTTTATCAAGGAACACTCGGTAAAATTAGAAGAAGTGGGATAGGATGTGAGACAGGGTTTAGGACAGAAGATCCGTTGTACTATTATAGGTTAAGCAACGGTTGACATACTAATGATGTAACAATTATATTGCTATTTAATATTTAGTTTTAAATTTATCAGTTTAAATTTATATTTTGATAACGGGACAGAAATTTATTGAAATTGCTTGAGATAGTCCAGTACAAATTGCTTAATAAACTGAAGAAGGGATTTCGACAGAGGTTCTAACCAGTAATTAATTTTGGCATCTGATGCCAATACATGTGCAATAGAGAATCCAATATGCTGCTAATCCAAAACTCGACAAATCTGTAAAATGTTGGCTCCCAGCCAAACCAATGAAAATCCCCTTCCCATCAAGAAATGCAAAGTAGGCTTAAATCTTTATTAGCTACCACTGCCCTGGTATGAAAATCAGAGGGATGATATGAACTGCACTAACTTATTCAAAGAATTGTAAGAAGAACCACCTTCCTTGATGCAATGTTTGATCTGTTCCTTGAGAGCAATCACTTTCTGCCTCATTCTTGAGCCTTCTTCTTCAACTAGGATTCTTCTTATAGCTTTTGCAATATCTGTTCTCTGCATCACTTCATCCAGTTCTATGCCTATGCCCCATTCATGGCTCAGGTATCTTGCATTCATCTTTTGGTCGACAAAATATGGCTTGCAAATCATTGGTACTCCTTCGCTTATACTTTCCAAAGTTGAATTCCAACCACAGTGGCTCAAAAATCCCCCTACAGCAGGGTGTGCTAAGACATCCTTTTGGGGTGCCCATTTCACTATGCAGCCTCTGTCACCGGTAAGCTCTTGAAACGCCTCGGGCAAATGTGCTTCTGAGCCACTGCCTAAGCCAGGCCGGATAACCCAGAGGAACGGTTGATCACTGTTAGCTAGACCCCATGCCATCTCTGTTAGTTCTTTCTGATCCAATGTTGCGATACTTCCCAAGCTTACATAAATCACTGAATGTGGAGCTTGCTTTTCAAGCCATTCAATGCAGTTGTTGTCATCCTTGATGACTAAATTGCTTGATTTTGCAAGAGCCATCTTGTGCATAGGGCCTAACGTGAAAAATGGAACATTGTAATGCTCCTGAAGCTGTGTCAATGAGGAATGCTCAAGGCAGTCCGTGGTGTTCCAAATGATGGCACTAGAAGTTCTTGTGTTGCATACAACTGCAATCAATTGTAAAAAGTTATCTAAGCTGCCCATGCTGGCAGTTGGTAGATCCTTGAACCTTAATGGATGAAGTCCTGGAACCAACTCGTCTGATGTAGAATCTGTGACAAAGAGATCATGTCAAATATGATATGATAGAGACTAGTAATATGACATTGCTATCTCTGTTCAGAATTATCTAGCATAATTTGTTTACTGTTAGTACTACATTGGAAACATCAATAAATGTTGCATTCATCCTTAAATTGAGTAATTTATTTGGTATTGCATACCTTGCAAGCAGTCATAGCCCTCCGCTCTAAGCCTGGGAAGTTTGCAGAAGGCTAGCAATGCGGCAGCATTGCTTGTTCTTTGAATGATACTAGGAAGACTCATTTGATTCGCCACAGTTTCTGCAAAATGCATGAGAAAATCATAGATGATGCACGCAACCTGATCATTTTGTTTCTCTTCCTGCTGCTGCTGCATCATTTGAGTTAAGCATTTCCTGAATGAATCTTTACAATTTGTGTTGATAGTGGATGCTAAACGAACAAGATTGGAAGCGGAGATATCCCAGTTGGATATACCATCTGAAATTGGCACGTATTGAAAATCTGGATGGTCCGCAGGATTGGGAAAGTTGAATTTGGTATGCACAATTGTGATTGAGAAGCCCCTGGAATGAAGGATGTTGGCTAGATCAAGCATTGGATTCAAGTGCCCTTGGAGTGGGAATGGAACTAGCACCACGCGACGGCATTTTTTTGCATGTAGCTTCTCCATATCCGTGACCTGTTTCTTCTTTCTAGATGGAAGTTCTCTGACTTGCTTAGTTTCAAATACTTAAAATTTCACTTTTGGAAGATGAAGACAATGGGTGCTAATGGTAGCCTTTTGAAGAAAGAAGGGAACCAAATCATTGGGTTTACTATTATGTTGGCAGAGAATCCAGCAATCATTCCAGTTGCATTGTTTCAGACCATTTGGAGCTCTTGAAAAAAGAAGGTCATATTTTATTTGAATTGGATTATCATTAAAGAAAAAAAGAATTGGAAAATCATCTTCTAGATCTCATCACAAAAATTTAATCCTAGCCTTTGTGATTGTCCTACACGATTGCAGATTATTATTATTATTATTATTGAATTTGTAATGGTACCATTTGGCAATTGAGCTTGATTTTAAAAATATTAGGAACTATAAAGCAGATGGTCACATCAGATTAGTTGTCTAGAAAGCTTGGAACCCTTGGCTTGTGTCTTGCATCCAATGTGGATGATACAAGATTCCCCATTGAGTGGGCTGGCCGGCCTCCATTTTGATGTTTTTTAGGTGGAAATTGCTTCCCATCAATGATATAAATTGGAAATTGATGAAGTTTGTCATGTTTTATTTGGTACGAAGTCCTTATGATTTAAAAAAAAAAAAAAAAGATAGAGAGAGAGATAGGATTAATTCCAAAAAGGATGCAATTACCTTAGATTCATATCTTTCTTCTTGTCTTCAATTGTTTTCGTCAGGTATAGTTGGGATATGGCCATATGGCATTGCCATTTACAAGCCAACTACAAGTCAAGAAAATGAATCAGGATCATGAGGACAAGAAGCCCGGAACAATCATTCAAGCAAACTGCTTTTAAAATCAAATGCAAGTTTTGAACTAAGAAAACAATCTAATTGATCTGAATATCCAGTTCTGCAAGGTTGATTTTATTTCTCAACAAGCTAGGATTTATTTTAAAAAAAAAAAAAAGTGATTAAATGTGGCCAAATGCTGAACAAATCCTCTTCACTTGTGCGATCGTCTCGTGTTCTAGGCTTCTAGCTTTGAGTCTTTGAGCATACATGTTGGGATTTTTGACATTTGTCAAATGAACAATTTTTGTTTCAACAACTGTAACCATACAAAACTTCATGGAATTCATGCACACTTTTAAATAGTCACTGTAATGATTCAGCAGCAAGGATAATAACAAAGTCAACATGGATATTGCAAAAATGGACTAAACCCAGATTACAATGACAACTAGTTCGACAAATTTTCGGCTCATCATCCACGTCTTAAAAATAGTGACCTATTGATCCTACAGCTTCAAAGATGTTAATAGGAACCTTTTTTTTTTTTTTTTTTAAACGGTAGGCTTTGTGAATTTTCTTCCTCTAACAAAATTTACCGTGAATATTAAAGGTAGCTAATTTTGTCAAATCACCTTCAATATCTACTTTAAATCAAGCGTAGCAGATGCAAAATTATCAATAACAAACCATACATGGTACTACAATCAGTCTCAATAATTGAGATGAGAAGGAACGAAAGAATGATTGACCCTAAATGGATTCATTATTTATCCTCTTTCTCATCAATCAAAGAACAAGAGCATTTCTCTCAATATTCTGGTTAATATGCAAACAGTTTGCAAACAATTTTCTGTTTAAGCAAAGATGTCACGCTAGAGAGCTATGAAACTTAATCTCAGCAACATCTTCTTGAAGTAGACTGGAGAATATCAAGGGGCACTAGTTTGGTTAAATCTCATATGCAGACGTTCAAAGTTAATCTTCAATCAGGTTTATCAATGGTCAGTTGTGCTTCTTGTCTCTTAGAAGTTAATCTACCTCAGTCGACAGCCAAACAGAGGAAGACCAAAAAGGCAGACTTAAACAAATGGATTTGTGGTATGGTCTTGATTCTAACTAAGATTTTTTGAGTTCATTTACTGGCAGATTCCTTTCAATTACTTGAAAATCAGATCAGCTGAAAGCAGAAAAAAAAAATCCCTGCTAGTATTTAGAAGAACAATGAGGATTTTTCATTACCTAGACTACCTAGAATCCAGACCCTTAGTGCAGAGTTAACATTTCTTAGGACTACAGAACGTTGGAGATATAACTATGAGGATGTAAAATTGGATAGTCTTCTGGATCAACTTAAGTATGAGTTTGAACAATTTGTCTTGCGCAGAATGAAGGCGATGAAATACTTGGCTTACTAGTGTTGAAACAATTGCTTAGCTGTCAAAGAAATTTATGAACATCAATTTCAATGCACTTCTTAATCCAATTCCAAGATGAGTGCTGAAATCATGGTAGAGCTCTTGCACTCTTTCCTGAAGAATCCAAAGGGTCTTCTGTACTGAAAATTTGACCCGAATGCTCTAATGAATGAACAGATTTGAAGTATAATGCACATGGAAATTTCTGCAGTAAAACACCAGCAAACAGTAATGCACATAGAAAGAACAAAATCCTCAGGATACATATTAGAACTGTGGCTATTGAAGTAGGATGTGTCATTTCCACATTTTCTACAAATACAATGCAACAACAAACAGAAACTATTGAGATGAATTTCTCCCTCTTGGAATTTTTCAGAGAGCTTGAATTCATAAGGCAATGCTCAAGGAGATTAATTAGTTGTAAATATCAGTCTTCACAGCCAGACTTTCCACTTCATTAATATGCACTACTCGAGTCTCCACTTCATCGAAAAATTTAAGAAGATATTTCTCAATGGACACTCATTAATATGCACTTCACATTATTTAGTCACTTTGCCAATTTAATTTCACAAATGCAAAAAAAAAAAAAAAAAAAGCTTTTCCCTTCGCATTCAGCATTAGTTCAATGATCATTTTCATGGGTTCTGCTACAAATGATCATTTTTGTCATTTTAACACTTTAATTCAAATAATGAGAGGGTTATACATAACTTTTGAAATAATATAGGAGTTATGTAAAAAATCGTTAAACTACAACGCGATAAACTGCATGTTGCCCTTGATTAAATGTAAGGTGGGGACCAACTTATTTTTGCTTGTTTGTTTGAAAAAAAAAAACTTATTTTTGTTTGCAAACATTTAAATTTTTAAAATAAAAATATATGTTATGGGAAAGCAGTGTAAAATTTTAATAACGGGTCTCCCCTCCCCCTGCCCCAAATTTTTCTATATGCCAGGACATATGGTAGAAAAAGTCATTCCAAAAGACAAAAGTCAATATATGTGTGACAGTTTTCTTACTTACTAACTTTTAGTTAATTGAACTATTGGAGTACATTATGAATGTGATTGTGCATGAGATTACAATGTAAAATTGCAATGCACGATTTTTAACACATTGTATTGGCTAATTTTTCAACTTTTAACCTACGTGAAATTATGGTAGACAAAACTCTTGTTCCATTGGTTCCCTAAAATCGTTGCTAAACTCAATATGTTTGTGTAAGTCACGTAAAGCAAGTAGGTAATTCGGGATTGTTAATTTATGTACAACTCCAAAACCACAACTACTTTACGAGTAATAAAGTGTCTTCATCACTTTATTATCTACCCTGTTGGCTACAACCCAAAAAAAGTTTCTTTGAGTAATCAATCAGCTCGTTTAACTGGAAGTGGCTGGATTGGGATACACTAGTACGAGATCCAGTCAATGAAATGATAATTCTGTAATTAATCTCAAATTATTACTGCTCAGATTTTTTTAATTAAGTCAAGTAGCAGCTTTACAATATGAGATCATGAGATATTGAGATCCCTCTCACATGGATAGACCTGACTAATTAGAATTAGTGCAGCATTAATGCTGTTGTCTTAGCCTTATTTATTGTTTAACAGAATGTTCAACTCTCTGTTCATGGGTACGAATTGATTCAGCTACATGTGCGTATATGTGTATTGGTTTGGTCAGATCATTTAACTGAGGGAAAATTGGTGAAGATCATTTAACTCTCAGTTCATGGGTAGTCACTTTGCAAATTCTATTTCACATTTTCAGAAGAGTTGACACTTTGCGCCTTTAATTAACGTTGGTCCCGTCCATGGGGCTCGATTAGATAAATTCTTTTTTAAGAAAGCAAGAGCTGGATTAACATATGAGTGATACCTAGAATTTTCATGCCTACCAATTTTTTGAAGCGATTGGTGTACCCTATGAATGTGATTTTGTACGAAATTACCGCTACAACATCTGGAATTGGCATTTTGTGACACAAGTTATGGGCTACTTTTCCAACTTTGGATCTACTGGAAATTTAATGTTAGGCGTAATTCTTGAATCATTAATCTTCAATATAACTAACTGGTAATAATTATTAATTCAATTAGGTTATATGGTGAAATACATTAAAATTAAAGGGTTTTTCTCATGGGTACACTCATTAACATGCTTAATTCGTACCCAACCTATCATGTGAATGCATACACTAACAATTATTACCCTCTCTTACAGTTTTTTTTTTTCAGTAACGGTAGTTTTTGTATTGATAGACAAAAGGATATACACTTATATGAGCAAAGGCTCAAGTAATACTATACAAGAGTGTTAGATACACTGAGGATTGATCCATTCCTCATCTTGAAATATGCCTAAGGCATAACCACTAATCAAATCACATCTGGAATCTAATCTCCTATCTAAACAAAAGGAGCATTTCTGAAATAAAGCTCTTAGATTGTTAATATCATCAGTCAAAGTAGCCAGTTTGATATCCTTGGCTATTCCTTCCGTTAACCCTTTCAACAGCTGAGAGCTGGGCATGTAGACTGTAATTTTCTGCCATTGTTGTTGTCTGGCCTTTATAATGGCCATCTTCACAGCTTCAGCAATATTCTGCAACTGATTCCTTGCTTTCCTGTCAATAAGTGCCCAGGCTGCCACCAGCTGGTGGTTGAAGTTAGTTGCTATAATCCCTGTGCCAATTCTATTAGTTGGTTCTTGCACATGAGTTGAGATTCTGATTTGCATTTCATCACATCCTCCCTCCTCTGGTTCTTCTTCCTCTTTAT